AAACACCTTCAAATTTCATCTCTTCCCTAAAACTTTTCCTGTTGAGCAAACAGAGAATGCGTATGTGAAAAAAGTAAAGAAGGAAAAGGAGAGAGAAGCAGGAAACAACCCTGGAAGTGACAGATGGGACTTCCGGGGCTTTTTGTGGTGTTTTCTTTTTCTTTTTTCTTCTTAAAAGACTGAAAGCAAAGGTATGAGCCAACCAAAAGAATGAAAATCAAGTGGGAAAACAGCTAGGGTAAAGAGAGAATACCCTTAAAAAAGTATACTAAAACAGCCTGACCTAAAAGGAATTAAGCAGTTGTCTATCGAAAAGATTCAAATGATTAGAATCGTAATTGCAAATTGCACAAGGAAGATGTGTGTAGAAATCTAAACTCAGAAGTTCAGTATCAGATTGAGATCCACCCAAAATTGGAATGGATTAAAGTAAATGAATTAAAAGAAGTTTCAAGAATATTAGAATATTCCATACAGGATAATGCAAATTATAGACAGAGCGTGCATACACATATACATACATAAACTGAAATATATTTGGTATATCTTAATGTATAAACTACAAACATATTTAGAGGTAGTCACATAACCACCACCACCATTACACCTGGTTATAATACTAAATAATGTCCTTAGTATTTATATCCGCCAAGAAGGTATAAAAAGAAACGAACTCTTTGTTTAATTCATCAAATACTTCCTTATCAATTTAAAACTTAGGAGATGCACAGTAATTAAAAGACTAGCTGTTTATTAAATATCATTACAAATTACGAGAATTTACTTTGGTATTTCCAAACAGAAACTAAAACACCAAGTTATGAGAAATTTTTCCACTTTGGCCCATGTCATTCAGAGAAAAACCTTCTCAAGGAGTAAGAAAGTGACCATTATCACTAGTATATATCAATGTGAGGAGCCCTGGTGTGGCGCTGTGGGTTAATGCACCAGACTGCAAAGTCGTCTAAACTGCAAGGTTGGCGGTTCAACCAATCTGTCTGGGCGGGGCTGATGAAAGGAGATGCGGATAGGTCTCTTGTGAGTGAATAATTGTTATCAGGACTGATTGTGACGGTTGGAAATGTAAAGGTAGGTGTTTTACAGTAAAAGGAGGGGAGTAATTGACTTTGCAGTCCAGGAACTGAGGTCCCTAGAACCATCAAGGGAGAAGAGCGGAGTGCAGGACCCTACCCAGAGAAGCAGTTATGCTTGTTTGTAGAGATGGAGGCAGAGACGATGGCATGGAGAGATGAACAGCTGGGGACTTTAGACCCAGAGACAGAAACGGAGAGGGGCTAGAGGGAGTGGGGGGCCTGGCTTGCAGGGTTGGTTGATGATGCATGGAGGGGATTGTAACCATGGCAATGATATATAATGGGATGATTGTAAAGTTAATGTAATCCCATGTAAACTATCACATAATTCACAATAAAACATTAAAAAATAATTAATTTTTAAAAATGTGCAGCCTTGGAAACCCTATGGAGCAGGTCTACTGTGTCCCAGAGTCAACAGACCACTGTGGACTAATTCTACAGGGAAATGCTTAGTGCTTCATTCAATTTCTAGTATCAATTTTGAATCTTTTTCAGAGGTATAAAACATTAGTTAAGAAGCTAAATCAAAAAAGGGGGGGAAACTTTTCTTTTTAGAAATTAACATTAATTTTGCATATTTGTTTTGTAAAGCAGGTTAGCTGAGGCCAATGCCCATTTTATACCCCTGCAAGCAATGTCAAGTTAGGTTACTAACTCTATGGTTTTACCTGTAGTGCTGAAAAGACAAACTGTTTTAGTTTCTCAGAAACAAAATTAAAACTCTGCCTGGCTACTTCAATGCATTTGTTCCCAGGAAGCCAGCTAGTATTTCTGGGATGTGAGCAAGCACCACATATGCCCTACTGAGCACAGCAAGTATAAAATACAAGTATAGACCAATTACTAGCCATTTGTTTTCCTACTTTAAAACCTAATGCTTTGGCAACATTTTCCTAAAGACAAAGTTGAGAAGGGATAGGAAGGTAAGTGGAATGAAAATAGGAACACATGGAAGAAGTAGAATTGTAATCACTGAGATGAAACCAAGTGTCTGGTTTGTTGAATGTAAAGTTGATTATCTTGTTTGTTACCCTTCACTCAATTCACAATAAAAAGTGAAAACAAACAAATAAAAAGAACCTAATGCTTTGCCCCAAAACCAAGCTCAGAAGAAAGGAAGGGGCAGGAAAGAGGGCAAATGGAAACAAGGTACCCTGGGAGGAAGTGGGAAGGGTATATTACATTGAGGGGATTGCAATTAATGTCACAAAACAAAATGTATACATTGTTGAATGAGAAACTAATATGCTGTATAAACTTTCACCCAAATCACAAGGAAATGTTCAAAACACCACCTGGTGCTGCTTCGCCTCCTGGCTACACTGCCCAGTAAAAAAGCTTCTTTACTAAGTCGACTCTCCTACTATCAGTCTCCCGTCAACAACCCTGAGACTTCATACTTCTAACATTAGGTAATAAGAAACTAACTGCTGCCCAGCCTCTTCCACAGCAACCTCAGGCTTTCACCACAGCTTCTAATGACATTTTAATGGAATAATACACAAAACTCTTATCAAATAAGACACTTATCAAATAAGAAATGAACATGAAAATGATCTTAATAAAATGTCTCAGATTGGAATGTCTAGTATATAACTTAAGAAGCCCTTAGGAAGAAAATGTAGACGCCGTAAAGTTTCCAAAATCAAACACTCCAAAAATTTCCAGTCTCATAGAGTTAACTGTGACATCAAAGCAAAGAATAAAGAACATCTGATTAATTTTATCACATTCCTTTATAAATTATGAAGTTAATTAGAATATTCAGTTTAAAAACCTATCCAATTCTTTAATCTCTCATTTTCTAAGTTTAAGGCCTTCCAGGGCTTATTCAACTACCTACTATAGCAATATACAGGCTACCACTTGCACCAACTCTAAACAATTTATACTGAATCTTATATAAATGAGTATACTGGAAAGCGTTCACAGAGGAGACGATACAAACATCCAATGCACCTTACATCAAACTGCATGGAATATGTTGTTATTGTTGTTGAGTGCCATCGGTCGAGTCAGTTCCAACTCATAGCAACCCTGTATAGGATTTCTAAGGAGTGAGTTGGAGGGCTTGAACTGCCAACCTTGCAGTTAGCAGCCTTAGAATAAAGACATAAGAAAGCATTGTTACTATTGTGTGCGTTGATTCCAACACACAGGAACCCTACATGACAAAGCAGAACTACCCCATTGGGTTTCCTAGGCTGTAATCTTTACTGAAACAGATTGCGTGGTATAATGAGTTTGAACTGCTGTCCTTTTGGCTGCCAGCTAAGCATTTAACCATTGCACCACTAGACTTCCTTATGAGAAAGAATAGGTATTACAAAGAGCTGAAAAAAGAAACTCAACTCCTTCCAATTCATTTAAAAATAAATAAATAAAGAACCCACTATCATCAAGCCAATTCTGAATCATAGTGACCTAATTAAGGGTTTCTGAGATGATAAATCTTTGTGGCATAGGACAGCCTCATGTTTCTTCCATGGAGCAGCTGATGGGTTTGAACCACTAACTTTGTGGTTAGCAGCCCAGTGCTTAATCTACAGCACCACTAGGGCTCTTCCCCAAAACTATATGGTGGTAGTGCTGTGCCATGGAGTCAGTTCTAACTCACAGCTACACTGAATACTGTTTACAAGGCTAAACATTTTTATGGGAGCAGAAAGTCTACTCTTTCTCTCACAGAACGACTGGTAGTTTCGAACTGCTGACCTTGAGGTTAGCAGTCTGACTTGTAACCACTATGCTACCAGAGCAGGTGGATGGTGACGGTTGTGTGCTGTAGAGTCGGTTCTCACTCAGTGACCCTGTATAGGGTTTCTGAGGCTGGAAATCTTTACAGGAGCAGAAAGCCTAATCTTTCTCCAGCAAAATGGCTGGTAGTTTTGAACTCCTGGCCTTGAGGTTAGCTGCCTGACTTGAAACCGTTATGCTATATGCAGAGCACATAGCTGAGAACAAAACAAAAGTCTGTAAGGAATAAAGTAATAACCCATTTCAAACATATAAAAGTGTTTCACCCTGTGAATTATAATTAAGTATTTGATGCTGCAAAAAAGGTACCCAAATTCAGATATAATTGTAGCAGCCTGTCCTGTAATGAAGATTGTTGTTGTTGTTAAATGCTGTCGAGTCAGTTCCGACCCATAGCAGCCCTTACAGGATTTCCGAGGAGCTTCTGGTGAGCCTGAACCACTGGCCTTGCAGTTCAAAGCCTACAAAGCAAACTACTTTGGAACGAGAAAAAAGCAGTCAAGCTGAGGGCTATGAAGAAAGTACTTTTTCTCACTTAATTCATTCAAATCTTTGCAAGCATAACAAACTCTGAAGGAAGTAACTATTTTGACTGAGAACAATGATAGGAGCTTTGTAAAAAAACAAAATTGTAATTAGAATGCTTACAGTACAGATATATAATTTTAAAAGATGATTATTTGCTTTACTAATTTGACAAATCCACTAGATTACTCTATGTCTGGTCATCATAAAGAACACACATGTTGTTAAGTACCTCTGAGTCGGTTCCGACTCATAGCCACTTTGTATAGGGTTTCTAAGGAGCAACTTGTGGGTTTGAACCACCAACCTTGTTGCTAGCAGTCCAGTGTTTATCCTATGGCACCACACCAGGACTCTTAAATAGAACACACATAAACGTGAAAAAAAAAAAAAAAATTCAGGCCAACAATTACTTTGTCATTTGAATTTAAGTTTTAAGTGACTGCCACTAACCGAAATCCATAGAAGAATACCATCATTCCAGGTGTTTTCGGTCTAAGATTACCTAACTCATGTTCTAGTGCCTGCCTCACGCTAGCCCCTATAACCAAAGTTATTAGTAGAAAAGTTCAAAGACAGTGATATCACATATAATTTGCAGGCTCACCAAGCCCTACATACCTGTAAGTCCACACTAACATCAGTACCATCCAGAAGGGATACCCGACATGTGATAATGGATTTTGAGTCTCCAGCTGCAGGAATGTGTGTGGGAGCTCTTTGTGCTTCTCGGAGTCTTTCCTTCTCAGCATGCTTGCGCATTGACCGACGCCCAAGGGTTCTACGAAAGAAGCTCAGCATTTTTTTGTCCCTATAAAACCAGAAAAAAAGATGACATTAGGAAAAAGACTCTTCACAACTTGTAGTCTGACAAATGATGTTGTTTAATAAAGTGCTGAGGACCTGAGAACACTGCTATTAAAAAAGATTCCTAGTCACATAAATTTGAAAAAAATAATTAAAACTGGCTTCTTTAATTCAGGGTGTCCTTGAGCCTTATAAGACAGAGTTAAGGTTTGTGGTTTTTCTAAAGTTACTGGACTAGCTTTATGAGGAGCTGATCAAGGAGGAGAAGGTAAATGTTTATGCAAGTTCATCAGGTATTTTGGATCAATAAATAATATATATAATAGTTGCATAAGGAGCTCTGGTAGCGTAGTAGTTACAAATTGGGCTGGAGCTCTGGTAGTGCAGTGGTTATGCATCGGGCTACGAACTGCAAGGTCAGCAGTTCGAAACTACCAGCCACTCCGCGGGAGAAAGATGAGGCTTTCTGCTCCCGTAAGATTTACAGCCTTGGAAACCCTATACAGGTTGCTATGGGTCGGAACCGACTTGATGGCACTTAACAACAACAACAACAATCTTACAGTCAGCAGTTCAAAACTACCAGCTGTTCCACAAGAAAAAGATGAGGCTTTCTGTTCCCATAAAGATTTACAGCCTCGGACCCTGTACAATGTTGCTATGAGTCGGAACCGACTCCATGGCACATACCCACCACCAGCACAATAGTTGTGTCCCCCTACAAATATTAGGAGTCAATGCCAATCACTGGCTTATCCTCTGATGATCATGACAAGCCAAACAAGTGCCATTTCTTTTTTAAATGCCTTTTAAAAAAACCACATAATTTCAACTAAAATAAATATAAATTTAATCAAAGTTTTATCCAATATTCTAATTATCTGTTATATACGGCTTTAGAAGTTCTGGTAGTGTAGTGGTTATGAGTCAGGCTGCTATCCTAAAGGTCAGCAGTTTGAAATTGCCAGCTGTTCCACAGGAGAAAGATGAGACTTTCTGCTCCCATAAAGATTTACAGCCTCGGAAACCCTATGCAGAGTCACAATGAGTTGGAACCAACCCCAGGGTACACCACCACCACCACATACGGTTTTAAATTACTACTTAATATAAATGACTGCTACTTATTTCTTTATCTCCTGGTGCAGCACTGTAGGATCAACACTGGACTGCACACTGCAAGGTTGGTAGTTCAAACCCACCAGCTGCTCCTTGGAAGCCACTCACTATGAGTGGGAACCAACTCAACAGCACTTAGCAAGCATTAAGAACATTGGAAGCGCCTCAGAGTTTTTCCTCTCTGGGTCCAACAACTACACCAGGTGTTTTTGTTTTATTTTTTCCTCTTTCGTTGTTACTTTGACTTTGTTTATTCTTTCTTCTCCTTCTTCCTCTCTTCCCCTTCCCTTGATTTTAAATTTATCTTGGCTTTCGTTTTTTTCTTTCTTTTGTTTCTCATTTCCAACCTCTTCTTCTCTTTATCCCCTTAATTTGTCTTTACTATTTTCTAGTCAAGGAGTCCTGGTAGCATAGTCGATTTCAGGCTGGGCTGCTAACCGCAAGGTCAGCAGTTCAAATCTAAGTTTCCCTATGAAAAAGGACAGTGAGGCAAGCTGGCCGGGAAGAGAACTCAAATAGCATAATATACCACTACGTCACCACTGGGATCATATCCATACACCTACAAAGATGACCAGGTAATAACAAGATTATTCAAATTTATGCACTAGCCAACAAACCCAGTGATGATGAAACTGAAGAATTCTCCCAACTTCTTCAGTATGAAATTGATCAAACATGCAATCAAGATGTATTGGTAACTACTGATGATTAGAAAGCAAAGGCTGGAAACAGAAAGGATTGGTAGTTGAAAAATATGGCCTTGGTGATACAAATGATGACGGAAATAGCATACCAGAATTCTGTAAGCTCAATGACGTCTTCATTGTAAGTACATTATTTTTAACAAGATTAATTTCAACAATCCACACGGACCTCATTAGATGAAATATACAGGAATCAAATTGACTGTCTATGGGAAGAGATAACGGAAAAGCTCAATATCATCAGTTAAAACATGGCCAGAGGCCGACTGTGGAACAGACTATTAATTATTCATATTCAAGTTCATGTTTAAGTTGAAGAAAATTAAAACAACTCCACAAGAGCCAAAATCTGACCTTGATCATATACCACTTGAATTTAGAGAACATCTCAAGAATAGATTTGATGCATTAGACATTAATGAAGACTAGAAGGGTTATGGAATGAAAACGAGAATATCATATAAGAAGAAAGCAAAAGGTCATTAAAAAGACAAGAAAGAAAGAAAAGATCAAAATCAATGTCAGAAGAGACTCTGAAACCTGCTTTCCAGCACCGAAATGCTAAAGTAATAAGGAGGTAAAAGAAGTGAATAGAAAATTTCAAAGGGCAAATGAGGACAAAGTCAAGTATTGTAACAAAATGTGCTAAGACCTGGAGATAGAAAACCAAAAGGGAAGAACACACTCAGCAATTCTCAAGCTGAAAGAACTAAAGAAATAATTTAAGCCTCAACTTGCAATACTAAAGGATTCAATGAACAAAATATTGAATGATGCATCAAAAGAAAATGGAAAGAATACACAGTTATTGTATCAAAAAGAAATGGCTGATGTTCAACCATTTCAAGAGGCAGCATACGATCAAAAGCCAATGGTACTGAAGGAAAAAGTCCAAGCTGTTCTGAAGACATCAGCAAAGAATAAGGCTCCGAGAATTGATAGAATACAAATAGAAATTTTTCCACAAACTGATGCAGCACTGGAGGAACTCACTCATTTATGCCAAGAAATTTGGAAGTTACCTGGCCAAATGATTGAAAGATATCCACAAAGAGGTAACAAAATGGAATGTGGAAGTCATTGAATCATATCATTAATATTACATGAAAGTAAAATTTTGCTGAAGATTATTTTCAAACCATTGCAACAGTACATAGACAGGGAACTGCCAGAAGTTCAAGCCAGATTCAGATGAGGATGTGGAAAGAGGTTTATCACTGCTGATGTCAGATGGATCTTGGCTGAAAGCAGACAATGCCAGAAAGATGTTTACCAGTGCTTTATTAACTATGTAGAAGGTTTCAACTATGTGGATCACAATAGCTGTAGATAACATTGAGAAAAATGGATGTTTCACAAGACTCCATTGCGCTCATGAGTAACCTGTACACAGACGAAGAAGTAGTCATTCGAAGAGAAGAAGGAAATACTAAATGATTTAAAATCAGAATGCAGTCAGTTTGATTCCTGTGTACTTCATCTGGTGAGGTTCACATGTATGTATAGTCAGCATTTATGCTGCTGAAAAAAAAGTCAGGAAAAATGTGGCCAGCATTGTATTCTTTCACCATACTTATTCAATCTGTATGCTGAGCAAATAATTCAAGAAGCTAGATTATATGAAGAAAATGCATCAGGATTGAAGAAACACTCATTAACAAGCTGCAATATGCACATGATACAACCCTGGAGAAAAGATTAAAGGTGCTTAGGACCAATATCAACACTCAGGAAACAACAGTCAAGAAATCAAACGATGTACTGCATAAGAGCTCTGGTAGAGTAGTGGTTATGAGTCAGGCTGCTAATCTCAAGGTCAACAGTTCAAAACTACCAGCTGTTCCGCAGGAGAAAGATGAGGCTTTCAGCTCCTGCAAAGATTTACAGCCTCAGAAACCCTACACAGTGTCCCTATGAGTTGGAACTGACTCCGTAGCATATAACCACCACCATCACATTAGGCAAATCTGCTGCACAAGACCTCTTTAAAGTGTAGAAGAGCAAAGATATCAGTTTGGGGACTATGATATTAGTCATAGTATTTTCAATAGCCTGACACGCATGTGAAATTTGGACAAGAAAAACCTTGGAAAACTTGATGCATTTGTGTAATGGTGTTGGAGAAGAATATTAAAAATACCATGTACTGCTAGAAGAACAAACAATTCTGTGTTGGAAGAAGTACAGCCAGAATGCTCCTTAGAGAAACCAAGATGGTACAACTCCATTTCTCATACTTCAGACATGTTATATGGAGGGACCAGTCCCTGCAGAAGGATATTATGCTTGGTAATGTAGTGGGTCAGCGAAAAAGAGGAAGACCCCAATGAAAAAGCCTGGCACAGCGGCAGTAACAATGGGCTCAAATGTAACAATTGTGAGGATGGCACAGGACCTGGCAGTTTCGTTTTGTTGTTCGTAGGGTTACTCTGAGTCGGAATGAACTCGAGGGCACTTAATAACAATGGCAAATGTCACCACTGTTAAGAAGGTTGAATAGTGCAGTGGCTCACAGTTCAAACTTAGAGGTCTAAATTCCATCTCTGACATGTGCAGATCATCAGTTGTTTTTGTCAAGTCATTTCAACTCCCTCACATTTACTTTTTTCTTATATAAAACTGAAGATACAGCACTACCTTCTGCATAAAGTGTATAATATTAAAAACAAAAACCTCACCACTGGACCTATAAATGGCTTCATGATAAATGGAGAAAAGATGGAAGTTGTCAAAGGCTTCATTTTGCTTGGATCCACTAAGAACACTCTTGGGAACAATAATATAGTCAAGTAATCAAAGGCTGTACTCTGCTCAGGTGAATCTGCTGCAAAAGATCTCTTTAAAGTGTTCAAGAGCAAAGATGTCGGTTGAGGACTAAGGCGCACTGACCAAAGCCATGGTATTTTCAATCGCCTCATATGCATGAAAAAGCTGGACAATAAGGAAGAATGGAGAAGAATTATTGCATTTGAATTATGGTGTTGGGGAAGATTATTGAAAGTATCATAGACTGCCAAAGAATTAACAAAATCTGTCTTGGAAGAAGTGCACTCAGAATGTTCCTTAGAAGCCAGGATGTTGAGACTTCATCTCTCATACTTTCAATTTGTTATAAAGAAGTACCAGTCCCTAGAGAAGGGCATCATGCTTGATAAAGTGGAGAGTTAG